AAAATAAAGTTGTGTTAAACAAATCTGAGTGCTGTTTTGTTCATATTAAACAATTAATATATATATATATATATATATATATATATAAAGATTAAATAACAAAATTATTTATTCCGTTAAACTTTTCGACACTTAATGTGTGTCATCAGTAATCCAAAAAACATATAACAAGTACAAAGTTGATGATAAAATACTATTATATTAACAAACGAGAAATATAAGGAGCACATATTGCCCTACTATAAATAATGTCATTGATAGCGGTACATTGTGGACACTGATCAAGGTTACAACGCAAGTGTAGTCACGCACGTGTAATGAAGGAGTGGGAGAGAGTTGTGAGAACGAACTCAATGTGTTACAATTAAGTAATTCTATCCCGCGTGCTCGTATTGTGCCTAGAAAATTCCGCGTGTTCGTATTGTGCTTTCATACGCGAATATTGTGAGTAAAGTTTTTTACAGTTTGTGTATAACAAATTTTATTAAAATGGAGGTAAGTTGTTAAATTGAAGTGAAGTAAGGATAAATATAAACAAATATTAGTTAAGTATCATTAAAATTTGTTGGCAGCCTACATGGGATGTCGTAATTTACGATAAGGAGGATAAATGTGGACATATACCTTCTTCGTGGGCTCTCAAGGCCCCGAAAACAAAATATTTGTGGCCAACAAATATTTCTGCATTAAAAGTTCAAAAAATGATCAAGAAGTGTATGCCCCTTCCTGATACTATCAAATAAAAATTGTCACGGGAAGATGTTTAGCTACATCTTCCAATTATAAACAAATAAAGTGTATGAAGCGGGGGCTGATTTCACATCATGTGTTGATAGTGAACAGGAGAAGATAGTGAATGAAGAAACAGAGGATATTCCCAATATAGAGCAACTACAAGGTACATTATTTAATATCTTCATAACATATCACTTAACAAAACATTCATGCTAATATTTATTGCAGAAATTATATGTGAAATTGAACAAGGAGAAATAGAGGAGAGTCCCAATATGGATGTGGGTACGTTATTTAAAATTTATATATTTAAATTATTTATTAAAATCTTTTAAATCCCAATAAACAAATTCTAGTTGCAGAGAGCAAATTGGATAGTATAATGAATACTCTATCTAAATTAACATACGAGAAGAATGAAATGAAGGAAGATATGAAAGAGCTTTTATCATATAAGAGGGCTTCTGAAGCATCAAAGCTGGATGCTCCAGAACAAACACTTTTTAAGCTTCCCATAATGTCAGATTTTGAGATGCTTGAGATAGAAGCGAAGCTTGTAGATAAGCAAGCATTGAGAGTTTTGGTTAAAAAAATGTAAAAATGAAGATGAATTTTCGGTTGAATTAACAAATTTTTATTTGCAGGCGTTACAATTGTCACTAGTTGGTGAGTCGATGAAGCAAATGGTGACACTTATTTTCAAAAAAAGCACTCTCGTGAAAATTGGTAGTGTCGTATTCAAGTAGGGGCAGGAAAGGAAAGAGAAATTTTTCTTCATTGCTATTATACAGTTGTGTATTAGGTATGTACATGCATATACAAATATGTATGTGCATATGTAAATAATCTCATATATGAATATTTAAACATATTTACAAACCAAAACATTAAGGTTCTAAATTTTATGCATATATAATATATTTAGAAAATATACATGTATATTCATATTTATATTTTGGCATAGATGCAGTGCGTTTAAAATTCCGTGAATCCGGACTTGATAATTACACAACATATAAGCTCTTCTCTAGCCTCATCAAGAGACTGGAAAGAAGGAAAAAGAGAAAAAATGGCTGTAAAAGACACAGATATAATTTTTTTAATAATAACTTTGATTTTCATTTATTCACTAAAATGAGTTATACATATGTTTGTTTATATAAATGTTTAATAATTATAAATTTGTTATATTTGAATTGAATTGAAAAAAAATTGAAAATTAGCCAATTCAGATGACAAGATACAATAAAAAAGCAATGAATAAAAATAATAAAATTAAACATCGCCAGTCTAATCTTGATAATATTTTTTATTAAAAACTGGTGTAAAAGTGATGAACAATTTCTTACTGGGAAAATAAGCCAATTCAGATGACAAGATACAATAAAAAAAACAATGGATAAGAATAATAAAACTATACAGCGCCAGTCTAATCTTCATAATATTCTTTATTAAAAACTGGTGCAAAAGTGAAAAACAATGTCTTACGAGAAAATTAGCCAATTCAGATGACAAGATACAATAAAAAAGCAATGAATAAAAATAATAAAACTAAACATCGCCAGTCTAATCTTGATAATATTTTTTATTAAAAACTGGTGTAAAAGTGATGAACAATTTCTTACGAGAAAATAAGCCAATTCAGATGACAAAATACAATAAAAAAGCAATGGATAAAAATAATAAAACTATACAGCGCCAGTCTAATCTTCATAATATTCTTTATTTAAAACTGGTGTAACAGTGATGAACAATTTCTTACGGCAAAATAAATAATCCAATTCGAATGATAAGATGCAATAAAAAAGCAATAAATAAGAATAATAAAACTATACAGCACCAGTATAATCTCGCATAATATTCTTTACTAAAAACTGGTGTAAAAGTGAAAAACAATGTCTTACGGGAAAATTAGCCAATTCAGATGACAAGATACAATAAAAAAGCAATGAATAAAAATAATAAAACTGAACATCGTCAGCCTGATCTTGATAATAATATTCTTTATTAAAAACAGGTGTAAAAGTGATGAACAATTTCTTACGGGAAAATAAGCCAATTCAGATTACAAGAAACGATAAAAAAGCATTAGATAAGAATAATAAAACTATACAGCGCCAGTCTAATCTCGCATAATATTCTTTACTAAAAACTGGTGAAAAAGTGATAAACAATGTCTTAAGGGAAAATAAATCAATTCAGATGACAAGATACAATGAATAAAAATAATAAAACTAAACAGCACCAGTCTAATCTTCATAATATTCTTTACTAAAAACTGGTGTAATAGTGATAAACAATGCCTTACAGGAAAATAAGCCAATTCAAACAACAAGATGCAATAAAAAAGCAATCGATAACAATAATAAAACTATACAGCGCCAGTCTGAAAAAGCTTGGTAGCGACAATGAGGGGCAAATTTAGAAAAGATGTGTTTTACGCTGTTTTAGTGTTTTCTGCATTCAAACGTGATGTACTATAGTGATTACCAACGTGGGGTACAGGCCGCACCAAATGGCAATTTGAAAATCATTTCATTTCAAACCTTTAATAAGAAAAACTTGATTGTACAAATTGTACAATTGTACAAAAAAAAATTTAAATATAATTTTATTTGACTTTACTGCCAAACGTTTCAAATAGCATTATAGAGATAAGAGAGTCAATTTCTTTATTTTGAACAAAGGATTCGTAAGTTCATATTGAGCACAGTAAAGCCATCTATTTTGGCTTATATAAATTAAGTTAAAAACAGTAGATAGGGTCTAGAATAGTGAATATATAATAAATTTGTAAGTAAACCATAAAATTTTTATTTGTATTACTTGAAACATTTAAATAAATAGACCATTTTGTCAAGTGAAAATTTTCTTCTAATTTAAATAATTTAATACAATAATACAAATTTCTAACTTATTATTTTTTAGCCCATAATAAAATGAACGGATCAAGCAAAATAATAATTCGTCAAAATTTTTCAATTCGTTCAAAATCACAATGAGCAGATACTCTTTTGTCTTTGATGTCAGCAGTCCTTGAGCAACGAATCAATGAAATTTGAAACATCGCAATTATGTAAATTCAGATTTGAATTACTGTAAAACTTTAAAGGAAAAAATTGACAAAAAAACAACATTGCCATCTCATGACATCTTTCTGCATAAACGTTGTTCTGTAAAATATTAGAAGGCATCACTAAATCCCAAGCTATACTAAAATCACTAAATCCCACTACTTAGAGTTGAATAATATACCAAAGAAAATATAATATTTTGTGCGGCAGATGATATCTTTTATATAATGGGCAAGAAAAATGACTGCTTAAAGTTGATGGAACATGTGAATCCTGAAATGGTTATTGTCCATCGTGTAATTCACAAAGAACATTTAGTAGCTAAATATATACCGCCTGTTCTAAATGAGGTATGAACATGAAGTTATAAAACGCATTAATACTATTAACCCGTTGGGAACGACTGCCGCATATATGCGTCGTGCGCAAATCATCAAACTTTAGCAAATTTTTGAACTTAAATTGCCAGCAAGGACTAAATGCGTTTTTCTTCTAAATATAAATATATAGTATCACTTATTCATCGTCAGATTATTTTTCGAACAAATGTTAAGAAATGAGACAAATCGTACATCAAAAATGTCAAAAAAAATGGAAAAAAGCTTTCCATTGAATCCCTTCCATCGCTTTTTAATGTAATTTGTTTGTAAACTTGTGAAAAAGACAACAAAGATAACGCGCAAAGTGCTGAAACACCTACAGCAACTACATTGACCAGTTTTTTTGCAATCTGCCAAAGCGATCAATTTGCACGAACTTTGCTTTACTTGGAGATGCTACGTTATTATATTTGGAATGCTTTGTTGGAGAATTTTCAAAGACGGAAAAAAGGCGATGCGGTTCCTGGGTATCCAGATGTGCGTTCTACTGAAGCTCTTGGTCTAATGTATACAGTTCATCCAAAGAATAATGAATGTTTCTATTTGCGGTTGTTGCGGATAAATGTGCGTGGGCCAACGTCATTTGAGTCACTACGAACCGTTAATGGTGTAATATTCCCAACATATCGTGCTGCATGTTAATAATTTCTAATATTTAATAAAATATTAGAAAAGGATAGTCATTGGGATACGACAATCGCTGAAGCCATTATCTCTGCATATCCAAGTCAGATACGAACATTATTCGCTATCCTAATTCCGACATGTTTTCCATCAAATCCGTGTAACCTATGGCAAATACAAGGATAATATGTCAGAAGATAGCTTACATCAAATTCGTGTCAGTTCCAGAAATTATGATATCAAGATAAATGAAAGGAGGTACATAATCGTGCTTTACTCTTGATCGAAGGTATGTGTTACTTCATGTGCGGTGATTTATTTATCAGGTTAGGAATGCCAGCACCATATCGTGAAATGAATGACGCATTTAATCAAGAATTGGAACGGAAACGTGAATATGATCACCAGGATTTAGATTTAATAGTTCAAACGAATGTACCCCTGTTGAATTGCCAACAAAAGGAAGTTTATGATACTTTAATAAAGGCAATCGATAATGAAAGTTGTGGTTTATATGTCCTAGATGCCCCTGGTGGAACTGGCACAACATTCCTCATGTCATTAGTTTTAGCAACTGTTCGGGCAAGAACTAACATAGCGGTTGTAGTTGCTTCTTCTGGAATAGCAGCCACATTGTTAGAAGGATGCTGTACGGTTCATTCAGAATTCAAATCACCATTAAATATTCAAACTATTGGAGAAACAACGTGTAATATTGCAACACACTCAGCATGTTCTCGCACCATGCATCCCAATGCGTTTCCAGTGCGTTTATGGTATCATTAAGTGTTTGTGGTATTAATTTAGATAACTCATGTTTCTCACATGGAAAATTGTATGTTGTTTGTTCCCGTATTGGAAAACCATCAGATTTGTTTGTCTATGCGCCAGGTAATCAAACAAAAAACATCGTTTATCACAAAGCACTACAATGAAAATTGAACTGATTTTTGAATTATGATTTACATTATTAAAATTACTTACTTTTAAATTCTTATAGTGTTTTATTTAATTATTTTTAATTCACACCGAATTATTACCAGGGTGACGGTTCTGTTGAGGATAATTTTTTACAAAGAATAGAAAAAAGGTGGGCACAAAACACCGCCACATTACAATTTTTTTTGACAGGACGAAGTCTGTCGGGCCGGCTAGTATTTAATATAATAGTAGAAAGAAAAAATACGAAAGTATAATTAGAAGGAAAAATACCTTGATGTACTTATCATTATAGCGATATAGTATTTGGCATAATTTATGATTTACATAATTTTACATTCAAATTACCACATTGGAAATGGTATATTTGTCTGCATTGTTGATTTGTATTTGAGTGATGGGAGTTTTGAATTATAAATATTGGCTAAAACCTAATTAAATACTATTATACCTTACGCATTTTATAGAGTGTTGTTTAATGAATATTTAAAACCAGTTAAATGTAATTTATTGCATTGGAATTAATTATCCTTCTAGAATATCTCGGAAGCTCTTAATCTGAAAAGGAATGACAATTCGATATGAATGCAAGAATAATCTTCACCAAATAATAAGGGAATGAAGCTAACATTTACATGCTTTATTTAAGCCTTAAATATATAATTGGACTATCCAGTTTACTTTTTATCGATAAGAATTTCACTCACAAGTGAATCACATTTAGTTATTTTAAAGGAAAAGAATTGACAATCGTTGGATTACACAAAATTCGAAAACGAAGATTCTGAAAGTAAAGTGATCAAAATGGATAAATTTTTCGCCTATATAGCGATATATCTCCCGATTCTTTAATAGTCATATATTGCGATGGTAAACCAGCATATACGGGCGAATAAACAAAATTTTACGATTGTTCAAAATGCATAAACAAGCTCCTGCTTTGGTTTGTGTGCCTTTTCTACCAACAAACTTCCACTTCAGCATTTATTTAACTATTTAGACAAATCATTGACCACTTGACAACAAAAAAAACTGGTATATTAAGTAAACAACTTGAAACGTGTGAAAATATTCCGGAAGTAACAACTAATTTACTTATTTTTATTTGTATGATAAAATTCAATATAATTTATCATTTCTCATGTACTTACAGCCGGTTACAAACTTCGAAACAATCGCGCTTGAAAATTTGGTTGATTTAACTTCTGTTGAATCGAGGCAAGTTATTTAGCCATAGGTACGAGCTGAGGCATTTCTGGTGAGGTATCATCAGCTGATTTGGCTAACATGAAACCAGGGCCAATTGCACATTCTGGATGGCTCACGAAGGCTAGTAAGTATTGAAGTGACTAAAATTCCTGTCTACGCTCATGGAACTGAAAGGCATGTTCGATCACTGGTATACAAAGCCGACAACGCTTCGTGAAAGCATTGCTAAATTTGAATACTGTTCTTTGGTACTTGATGAAAGTTGTGACGTTAGCGACACAGCAAACTCACTATATCTATACGTGGTATTGACACTAAATTCAATATTACTGAAGAGTTTTGTTATCTGGTTCCAGTGCAAGGGACTACAACCTCTTCAATAAAAAAGATTGTTAGTATATCAACAGATGGGGCACCCACTATATCAATGTAGAATTAGCGGAAAGACTTTTCGTAAATATTAAGAAAGCCACAGAAAAATAAATATTTGTTAACCACTGCATAATTTATCAAATAAAATGTGTGTAAAGAAATAAATTTACTCCATGATACAGCTCCAGTAAATATATTACTAAATTTTATGAAGTCACAGAGGTTCAAATCACCGTGAGTTTGAATTCCTAAGCAATTTGGAAATCATGGCGATTTAATCTTCAATACCGAAGTGCACTGGCTCAGTAGAGGTGCAGTGTTGAAAAGAGTTTATTATAACCTTTAATGCGAAATACAAATGTTCGCGGAGAAAAAAGTAAAAAAGCATACAACCGTAGCACAAGAGCTTGTGAAGATGGTAATACAAATTCTATTCTAAGGATGGGTCCATCTAATAGAAACTGTTTGATGAAATTAACATTTCAGAATTGAGTATGACAAAAGTAAGTACAGCATAACTGGCTTTGAGAAGGCTGCGAGAGAAGTTTGTTGATCTTGCTTTGGTATTTATCATTCGATAGATTAAATAGCCTTCGAGAATTCGAGGCTATTTAAAAAAAAAATCTTAGAAATGGTCGAATTTACAAACTTCAGGGTTAACTTGTTGGCGAGCAAGGAACTGAACCACTATATGATCCTCCACATGAATTAAATTTTTTTTATTATATGTAACTTTTATTTTGTAACTTTAATACAACAAAACGAACAGAAAAGGACATCCTGAAAACGTATAGTCAAATTGTATGAAATAGATTCAGAGTTGCCACTTTTCCGAATGCGCTGTAAATTGCGAGCACATAAGGTGTATACTGAAAAAATGAAGAAGATGAAAGTGCGGGACTGCTGTAGAGTTCTCTTATAGATATATGCTACTAAGCAACTCTGTATTCTATTGAATTCATAATTAAAATTCATAATTCATAAGTTCCAGATTCCAGTTCTGCAAAAAAAAACCTGTAAAGCTCTAGGAAGAGGCTTAGGCCTCTCTAGCCGAGTCTAGCCATTTAGTATTTTATAAAGAGGCTAGGCGTGTCTTAAAAAACAAAAGCTTCTTTAAAAAAGACGAGATGATCAAAACTCTCCCAACTATTCAAAATTGGATTAAAACAATAGAAGGTTTCGAAAATATTTGGCAGTAAAATTAAAGTATCCGGAAAGTTGAGTTTTATTCAATTCGTTATTTAAACCAATACCCTCTAGATTATGGGTGTCAAACTCGCGGCCCGCAGCAGATATTTTTGCGGCCCGGCTGCCCGCATATGTTGACAAATGATAATATGCAATAAATAACAATTCGATGAGGAAAAAAATGAAATATTCAACTTCTAAGTAATTAATAATTACTTTAAATAAATTAGCAATAATTACAATTAATTAAATTAACAATAAATTATTTTTCAACAAATAGCTTATATAATTATACCGCGTAAAGTTAGCCAAACCCTCGCATTTCTCGAGTGTTAGTCCCAGCCTTTATTAATTATGATAAATTTTATGAATTTATGCTAAATTTTAATATTTTCTTATTAATATAAATAATAAGGAAATTTTGATCAATGGTATTGGTTCCAGGTTGATTCATATTGTTGAAATGATAACCACTGCAAATCTATATATATATATATATATATATATATAAAGCGAGAGGTTTTGCTTCAGATGGTAAAATAATATGATAAAATTGTTCTTGGGCATCAATCCAGTAATTAAAAACAGTTTTATTGAAAGAGAATGTTTTTATTCAGAAAACATACGTTTCGGGTCTTGATTTGACCCATCTTCAGTGCATACAAATAAATTGAAAAAAAACACAAAAACACACGAAAATTGCATGAAAAATTATGAAACACAAATTGATAAATGTCGAGTTATGACAAATTTTAAATAATTGTAAAATTAAAATTAAAATAAAAATAAATAAACAGACAACTTGCTTCGTTTGGAATAAGCTTTTTTGTAATAAAATATATTATCTATTTTTATTTTTATTTTAATTTTACAATTATTTAAAATTTGTTATACAAAACAATTGGTTAGATTTATGTTTTTTTTACATGTTTTTATTTATTTTTGTCTGTAATTATGTATTTTTTATATTGTTTTAAATTATAACCCTGAAATATTTAGTTGTGGCACTGAAAATGGGTCAAATCAAGACCCGAAACGTAAATTTTCATAATAAAATCATTTTCCTTCAATAAAACAATTTTTAATTACTGGAGGATACCCAAGAACAATTTTATCATATATATATATATATATATATATATATGTGTGTGTGTGTGTATATGTATACATACCCACACACATATAGTTTTTTTTTTGCGGCCCGCTTAAAGTTAAACCTTGCTTATGCGGCCCGATTGCACCTTTGAGTTTGACATCCTTGCTCTAGATTTTGTTTTTGTAGTATTAGACAGAATTAATAACCAAAATGCTTCCTGCATTGTTCTCAATGAATTCATTCCGTCTATTTTTACTCTGGCAATTTTGAGCTTGATAAAACCGAAATTGCGATTGATTCATTAAAATATTATTATTGTGTTATGCTTCGGTCAGAGTCATGTGCGAGTCAAGTTAGAATAAAGATATTCTAATTTCGTCTAACGTGAATACCTATGGATTTTTATTAGAAGAAGAAAATAGACTGCATGTTCAAGTTAACAGATACATCGCTGGCTTTACTACCAACAAAATGTTGAAAAATGTTGAATCTTGCTCGACGTAAGTCTCATATTTAGGCAACAGACAAGAGCGGGGACGATTATTAGCTAAGCGTTGAAGATCGCATTGGAAAATCTCTCGTTTTTCTTCTAGAAGCCTTGTGAACATTATTAAAAATTCATTATATTTTCACAATATTTTTTGTCCAATCAATATTTTACAATAATAAATAAATACCACTTCTTGTTGTTACAATTTGAATGCTCACATCTTACCTAAAAACTAATGAGGAAGAAAACAAACCATATATTCAAAACGTCCAATCCAATTTAGAAAGCAATCCTTTTCATTGAAACCATGTAGCTTTTCTTAAACAAACTATGATAACTTGATTTATGTGATTTGACGTAAAAATTGGTGAAGTAGCTTATAAAAAGGCAAAAGCACATGAAATCGATGAAAAAGTGAAGACACTTGCATGCGCAAGATTATGTTCGTTTTTTTTTTCAAAAATTGTAAATAGTTTATATATGAAAAAATAATTCAACAATATATTCGAAAATAATATTCGGCTTGAGTTTATGTGATGCAACCAATTGACATAAAAAACATACTTAGATAAAATAGGAATAAAAAATTAGAACAAAACTAAAATTTAAATGTGCAGTATCATGTATGGTAATTATAGTAGTAGTTAGGAAAATAAAGTATTAGAATGTAAAATTAGAATACAGAATGCCTGGTTTTATTTATTATCATTATAATGGCCACATGTGCTATTAGTAACTCTAATTATATTATTTATTTGTATATATAATTTTACATTCTAATTACTACATTGCTACAATTAAATTTGTATATTTATTCGTATGCATTGTTGATTTGTGATTCGGTGTATGTAGTTTTCAAAGTATTATTATTATAAATACAGGCCGAAACCAAAGCGAACTATTATAACATATGTGTTATGCTTATTGAATATTTAAAATTAGTAAAATGTAATTTAGTGCATTGATTATTATTTATTCTTCAAGATCTTCTTAGTATATTGTAACTATCTATGAAACTTGTTAACATCGATTTCAAATATCGAGTGAGTAGAAATCTATTTTATTTAATCTTACTTTTTCATTACAGAATATCCAAGCTGTATGACATGTCTCAAATTCCTTCATATATTAATCTCACACATTTGGTTACATATAATTTGGTGAAGATTGGAAGTACCAGAGATGTGGTAAGCAAGGTGAAGGTCCAAACATATCATCAAAATTGAAGTGAACAAATCTATCTTCACACGACTTTGAATAAATATTGCAAGTATAAAAACATATTTCTATGTCAAAGTATTTATATATATATATATATATACATACATTTGATCTATAGTGTAGCGATCAGTGCTAATTAAAACAATCCTCTTGATTGATTAGGTATGGAGGTAGTGAAAGGCCAAATGCCTTTGAGCAATTACTATTTTCTCACTTTTTTCGAATTCCTCAAAATCCTTCAAAATTCCTTCTTCGACTTAAGGCGATCATTATATTCGATATACGATTAATGATCTATAATATTGAACTATGAAGATAATCTCTGATGCTCTGACTATGCTCCATTGTTGTTAGTATCCAAACAAATTCAAAACTAAATCAAATAAACAATATATCATTCAGATATATAAATGGCATGAGCATCTGCATTATATTGCATATCTGGTCAATATGGTACTTCAAGGGCGATGTCTTCCTATTAGTTCGGAAACTATTTTCAAAGATGAAGAGAACTCATGAATGTCTTTGTCTGGATTGAATGCTTGGCAAGTTTCAAATTTACTGGCACATCACAGCAATAAAATTATTGATATTACAATGATTATTATAAATCAAATTTTTCTGAACATTATCGCATCTGAATCTCTGTCTATTAAACAAATAGTCCAACAACATTCTAAAGATTCCAGCCACAAAGATTCTGATCTCATCTCATAATACATAAATTATATTTATTAGGTATATTGATGTCAAAACTGTATATAAAATACTCATTAAGCACTAAATTGTATGTTATTATGTTCTTGTGTGAGACAAATTTAATTCTTCTATGATATTATGTTTTCATGTTATTCCATATAGAAGTAAAACAATGCACCGTTTGCTTTCAACAATATTGATACTATGTTCATACTGAAATAAATATGTCGTTAATATAAATATTAAACACTTTTCTTATTATTTTCACACAAAAAATTATTCTATTGAATAATTAAATTGTTTCACTTGCAGTAATACCAGATTATTCTTTATTGGTTGCAATAGAATCGACATTTGATATGGTACAGTCGTTATAAGTATTTACCATCAGTATCAGTAGTTATTGTTGATAAATTAAGATAATGTATCTATAAACTATACAACTGATGTAGTATAAATAATAACGGTGCTTTGTTTTGTTAGCATTCAGCAATTCAAATTTCTTCTCGTGTCCAATACATTTCAACAAATTTTATATATTCAAGCACTATACACAATTTAATTAAAAAAAAGTTCACTATTCTAGAAAACTACCTACACTTCACCATTAACAACAAATGCATAATCTGAATACTTGCACAAACTGTACTTGAACTGATTTACCAATGAGCGCGCATTATTTAGATTTATTTTTGCTTACTAAGAAACTGTAAGAAATAAAAATATATATGTTGACATATCTCCGGAAGATTTAAAAATTAATGAGAAAAAAAAGATAATTCTTTTTATGTAGTGGATTGGCATGCAGAACTCTGCCGAATAGAATTATGAATATACAATATTCAATATTACTTAAATTTATTTTATTAGACAGTTAATATCTTTCAGATCAAATTTTGCCATATTTTTTTATGTTTTATTTCAAAATGTACAGTTTAACATTTCGAAGACATAGTTTGTCACTTCCTCAGAAATTAATTTTTTCTTAGACGCTATTACTATTACTATAAAAAAATAATGGGTATGATGGATTGAAAACTTCTTTTTCCTGTCTCTGACTGAACGTGTTACAAAATGGGCAGTATCAATTTATCAAATACAATTATCAGGTATGTATTGTATTTATTTGTGCACATGGTGGTTCTTTCCAATCAATCAATTATCAATTTATGCCGTCGAATTATTCTATAAACACAATAAATTCGGGAAATTTATAGAATCACAAAATTCATGATTACTATTAAAAGAAAAAAGAAAATACAATGCCCTGCATGCATTCATTAGAGATAATAAAATAATCACTTAAAGTATTATATCAAATGTAAGTGTGGGTGAGTGTCAATGAATAATTAGAAAATGACCAATGAACCAGATTACAAGGTCAACAAAACGATAAAAAAGTTAGCCGCCATTACCGTGAATTTATCATTTATGAATATTTGTTCCGTTCTATAATAAACTATAAAGCAATAGCATCAAAGGGTTTAAATTGATTTTGGCGATAGTTTTTGTTTTTTAATGACAGTGTTATATTGCTGTTGTGTGATACTTCTATAATAGTAGTATTTACATTAGAAGTTAACAAATTACATGAATTCCGGTAGTGGCTGTACCAAAGAGAAGAGTTATCCACTGCGTTTGGAAAAAGTTACCCTATGTAGTTATGTTCCAAAAAAATCAAGGTAGTAATTATGCTATCATCAATTCATCATGAACCAAAAATTAATGATAGTACAAAAGAAAAACCCAAAATTATTGAGTTTTATAATTGGTCTAAAGCAGGAGTACACACTTTGGATAAAATGCATGGTAGATATACTACAAAAAGATCAACTGGTGGCATCTGTCATTTTTTACACGATTGTGAGAGCTTTATCAGCAGAAGAAGCATGCAACCGCCGCAACTGCGGTGCACTTCGCGTTCCAGCAAAATTTACGAAAAATTCTGTTTAAAACATTTTTATATTCTTTTAAAAAGCATGAAATATTTTTCCGAAATCAACATGGTTTCCGCAAAGGACATTCAATGTCCCATGATATTTATGACCTTGCACGCAGTATAGTTGAATCTTTCGAAAATAACAATTATTGATAATAAAAATATTACTTAATGAATTGGAATGTTGACATCACTAGTCCAATTATGTATTTGAATTTTTTTTCAATGGAAAGACAATATATAAGTTTTATAACAAAGTTTTTTTTCCCTCGCAATAATTAAAAAGTTTTACCAAATTCAAATTTGAGTTGGAAACCGGTACCGAAGAGCGTCGACAAATCCCGAACAAAGCCAAGCGCGTGTGACGTCATTGTTCCACGGGTGATTAGTATACAGTATACAGCTTTGAATATGTGCTATGTTTTGAGCTTTCATTAATATCGTTCTGTCATTGTTGAATACTCAAAAATATATGAAAAATGTCAAATGTAAAATGTTATCGCTGTTATTTTGTACCATTATGTACTAATATAACAAAGACAACTTCTGAAAAAATTGAATTAAAAGCAAATTTTATGGTTTTGTTTCTTTATTATAAAAACATTTAAATAATTCTTATGATACGTTCCTTTTCCAGCTAAAGGATAGTATGGAAAATTATATATATTACACGACAATGGGAGGTAGAGCCAAGATTAAAATTGATGTGGTACCACACAAGTTTGAATGTCAGCCTAATCGTAAACGACGAGGGACTCCTAGACCAGCTTCAGAAAAAAGACGAAGACAACGAATAATTCAAAAAAAAAATTGGGTGAATCTTCGGGTAATATGGAAATTGTTAATTCTCAGGAACCAAATATTGATGCAATAACAATAAACAGTGTTGAAGATGTTGAAAATAATAATGCTCCTTCAAATGCAATAATTAAAGTCAGTGTTGGTACACAAAAATCAATCGATTTTAACAGTCGTACTATTGCTATTCAAGTAATTCCTAAATATTGTAGCAAGTCAGTTCAATGTGAAGTTTCAGCAACCGGACTAGATCAGTCCTGCTCACCAATTAAAACTGGTAGCAAAGTACTGCAACATCTCCAATAATACCAATAATCGAAAATGATCAGAAAAAATTGTCAGATAGTAGTTTCACCACAAATTCAAACAGTTCTCGAGAGATTTATGAGCCTTCAGAGAATAGCGACTCGAGTTATATGGACTGTAGCTTACAGTCTCCTATAAAAAAGGTGAAATTGTAGAAGTCACAAATTATTTAATTGATGACAATTTGAAGGCCTGTACAGGAGTCCCTCAAAAATTTAATGTGACGTTAGAACGTCTCAGTGTTATTTCTAATACCAATAATACTAATATAAAATTATTTTTAATGAAAATTCGACGCCAAGACAGTTTTGAAAGATTAACTAATTAAATTTGAATAGTTCGTAATAAGTAAGCAATGCTATCATTATTTTTAATAAAACAATTCCTGTATTGGCACATTTTTTTAAAAAGTGCTTGGTTACATGCCAAAATATAACCGTAAGCGCTAACAGAGTAACGGCACTGCGCTGTTATGAGGATGCAATTACACTATGACGTCACAGACACGCTAGCCAGAGTCTATCGGCCTAAGTTTTCCCATAGAGAGACGTAAGGCAGGGGAATCATTTCTCTCCAATAATATTTATTTCAATCCCGGAGAACATTATTGGAAAGCTGAATTGGTGTAAATTAGGCTTCTATATAAAAGGCAAACATCTAAGCCATCTTAGATTTGCGGATGACTATTGAGCTTTTGTCAGAATCGGCCGGTCAAAAGCAATTCATCTTGAGTCTCTGCATCAAGCTAGCGTCCAGGTTGGCCTGATGATGAATTTAACTAAAACTAAAATATTAACAAACAACTGACGGAAATTTCCAATACTACTCAATACAAGCCTATTGATTACGTCGATAAGTACATATATTTAAGAAGACTTTTAAGTTTTGACAAAAATAACGACAAATATGAAGTAAAAAGAAGGATACAATCAACTTGCAAGAAATATTGCAAATTAAAAGAAATATTCAAAAGCAATGTGCCGATAGATATCAAAACAAAAGTGTTGAATTCTAGCCTGCTACCATGTCATTCGTATATATGCCAGACGTGGAAGTTTTCATCTAAAATCATAATTAAAATTAGAACCTGCCAAAGGGGGCTAGAGAGGAACATATTGCATATCAGAAAGTTAGATAAAATCAGACATACCAAGATAAGAAAAATCATAAAAGCAACCGACGCTGTAACTTAAGCATTAAAACAAAAATGGTGATGGACACGTTGTGAGATGCAGAGATAAGAGATGGTCAAAAAAGTAACATCGTGTAGTGGCCCAGCGGGTAAGCGAAGTCGTGCGAGACCACCAACCAGATGGAAAAAAGGCCTGAGACGAACAGCTGGCACGATCTGGACGGATGTAGCACAAGATAGAGGCCTACACCCTATCCGGGGTTCTTGCCAACTAACTCTATACATCATGTACTGTGTTTATATTTCATAATTACATCATGTTCTGTATATACACGTTTATGTTAATTAGTATATATCTATGCAAAAAAATTAACAATACACTTGCAGAATCTGCCGACGTATGTCGATTTGTTACAAATTTACCATCATGCAATAAACGCATTGATGTAGCACGCTTTATTAAGTTATACACATTTTTTATAAAATCCCTTCGTTCATGTATAACTAAATTGTACAAAAAATGTTTATATTGGTTGATAACAAGTGAAAATGAAGAGCAAGCTGCCGAGGTTCTTGCAATTATATTGATTATATGCAGAAGCGAAACCGAAGGCTTTAGTAAAAATGTTGCCAAAGCACATTGTGAAATAGGAAAGAAAAAAGTTATTCAAACTGCGTTGCAGGAAAAAATAGAATTGAATAATAATACAAAGTTAGATTTGTCAATCTAACTCGAAAGGATACAAAGTTCGAATGGGCGAAAGCGTGGATACAGCCTTTAATAAACTGAAACAGATTTTAACCTCACAACCGGTTTGAGAACACTTTAATGATTCGGCTAAAATTCATTTACATGTGGACGCATGCAACATAGGCTTAGGAGCTGACTCGTTCAAATGCACAGATAGAGATGAGAATCCGATAGCATACGCTTCACGAAAGTTACTAGAAAGGGAAAGAAAATATAACACGTCCGAAAAAGAATGCCTCGCGATAGTTTGGGCCATTAAGGGGGTATTCTGGTCTAGAAATTTCAAAAAATCAATTTTTTTTTCATATTTTCAAAGTTTAACTATTCAAGAATGTGTGTACGAGAGGATTTTTGAAAATTCGAATTATTTTCGGAGATATAGGCATTTTGCTGGCGCGGCATTCAAACTGGTTCGGCCGGATAGAATCGTACAATAGACGGTAGGGACTCTCCGTCTACCTGAACCCATATTTCTCCGTTTTAAAGCTTTTGTTCTACTATATATATATATATATATATATATATATATATATATATATTTATAGTAAATATATATATGTATATGCGTGTATAAGTATATATATATATATATATATATATATATATATATATATTAGTGATGTGACGAATGTTGGATTTTTCACATTCGCGAATGCGAATGCGAATGCGAGTATTCATCTTCAATATTCGCGAACGCGAATGCGAATGTTAAATTTCAAGTAAAGCGCGCGCAAAATGTTTGACATTTCAAATGTAAAAAGGTAGCAACACATTTTTACCACTCTAATGTAGCTCAAGATGAACTTGCTAATCTACAAGAAATACGGTACAAATCGAAATTTTTCAAAAATCCTTCAACCAAAGATCAGGTCGTGAAAAATATTTTGGATTTAATTGGAAATGAGGACTTAAGCTTTCCTTCATGTTCAAATTCCAAGCGTCCTAAAATGACTGATCAGGTTAAGGAAAACTTTGGCTCCAGTGCCAGTCTTTCAGAAAAATCTGTATCACTAAAAGAAACTATCGAAATGATGATGGACTTAAGTGAAAGCGAGGAAGAATTATAAAATAAAATTCCAAATCCTGTAGAAGTTTTAATTAAAAAAAAAATTAATGAATATGTATTGGATAAACGTATTGAAAATGAATTGTTTTTTCTTGTAAAAAGCTTATTTACAAATAGTCAAGTATTCATTATTTGGTTTTTTAAGTTTATATTTCATTATCATATTTAATTCTTAGAAAATATATAGTGGAATGGAAAAATAAATAAGTATGATTAAATAAAAATATATAAATCTTATCAGTTGTGTTATCATTTCATATGCAACTATATAATAATTTCCTTTTTGTTTGTTAAATACATTCGCTAAATATTCGCATCGTTTTTTGCGAATATGAATGCGAATGCGAATATCGAAAAATATGCGAATATTCGCGAATGCGAATGCGAATGCGAACATTCGTTACATCACTAATATATATATATATAACCCAAGGTGACTTGTATCTTTTCTATTTAGTATTCCCTGAAATTCAGCTGCTGACAACAGTGTTATTCTAACCTCTAAAACACGTGGACTTGTGTAGTAAGTGAAATAAAAATATTGTGAGTGATTGTTTAATTAATTAAGTGAAAATATGGATAAAAAATCCTCAGCCCAAAGAGTGACGCGTCCTGACAGATCCAAAAAGCGGAGCTTTCACGGCAATCGACACACAGTGTAGAAGGAGGACACAACTTTTACAAGTGCATCAGCAGTAAAATTACTTAAAATTAATGATGAAGTAGTTATAATAGACAATAACTACGGCTACTGTATCCTCGAGTTTTTTACAGTTTTTTCAGCAATTTCTTCAATGGTGTTGTGTGTTTCTTGCAAGAAAGAAATTAAATTCTCTCGAACGGCTCACCGCGGACTAGGATTTAAAATAGCATTGCAATGTAATTGCCCAAGTGTAAGGTATTTATTATCATGCCCATTTATTGAAAAATCCTTCGAAGTAAACCGAAGAATGATATTTGCTATGCGACTTCTGGGAGTTGGTAGGGAAGGAATAAATATCTTTTGCAGTCTGATTGAAATTTGTCAAGGAATATCAATCTGTACCTACTACGCTTGCGTCAAAAACATTCATACAGCCGTGTCTTCAGTTTATAATCTAATTATTTCCAAAGCTGTAAAAGAAGAAAAAGATTTAATTTCTGAGTGCGATCCTAATGCTAGTCCAACAGAAATTACAGTTTCTGGCGATGGGACCTGGAAAAAAAGAGGGTTTAACTCTTTATTTGGAGTTACTACACTAGTAGCTAAAAATTGTAAGAAAGTTGTTGATACGATTGTGAAATCCAGTTATTGTCAAGGTTGTAATCTTTGGAAAAATAAAAAAAAATCGGATATTTCTGCCTATAACGACTGGTATGAAGAGCATGAAGAGTCCTGTACTATTAATCATACGGGAAGTGCTGGTAAAATGGAAGTAGATGCTATTGTTGAGATGTTCTGTCGATCTGTTGAAAAACACGGCGTAAAATATGTGAAATACATCGGAGATGGTGACACTAAGACCTTTAAGGGTATACTTGATATGGAACCTTACGATGGTGATCCGTTGATACAAAAAAAAGAATGTGTAGGACATGTACAAAAAAGAATGGGTGCTAGCCTAAGGAAAGCGAAGAAAGACAATAAAGGGGTCGGTGGAAAAGGTGAAGGCAAATTAACTGATAAAATGATCAATAAATTGTCTTTATATTATGGTTTAGCGATCCGCCGACATCCTGACTCTGTGAACGATATGAAAGATGCATTTTGGGCCACTTATTATCATAATAGTTCTAGTGATGAAGACCCACAACATATGTACGATCGTATTGCCCACCTGGTACAGACAGTTGGTGTAAGTGGCAACAATCTGCATCTGAAAATACAATAAAAGATTTTGTGCATGAAACTAAACCTCTGGCTGATAACGTTTTGACAGTTATCAAACCTATTTACGACAGTTTATCATCGAATGAATTATTGACTCGATGTTTAGGCTCAGAAACGCAGAATAATAATGAATCACTCAATTCATTGATTTGGACTTTTGCGCCTAAGCATATTCATTCTGGAGCTCAGATAATTGAAATAGCCACATTTATTGCTGTTTGTATTTTTAATGAAGGTTTCATTCCCATTTTAAAGATGATGACTTTGATGGGAATTAAAATTGGTACAGAGGCTCATTCATTTGCCGTAAGACGAGACAACACCCGAATCGACCGTTCTGAGGTACGAGCCTCTAACGCATCGAAAGAAGCCAGAACTGCTCGGTTAGAAGAGAGAAACGCCGAAGAAAGTTTTTATGAAGTCGAGGAAGGCCCGATGTATGAAGCAGGAATGGCAGATTAGATAAATGTAAGTATAAAATATAATTTCATGACTTAAACTGCGAATAACTTGACGCGAACGGCGGGCAAAACTTTAAACGCGTTTTTCTCGAAACTGTCTTTTTCAACCCGATACTCATGATATCTCGAGTTCTACTGAACCGATTGACTTGAAATTTTCAGGGAATATTCCTCATAGACTCCTCTCGGTCATGAACTAGCCCCATCCCCAAATTCCAAAATTTTGTATTTTTAAAAAATTCGAGAATGTCAAAAAAATGGTCCAAAAATTATGTTTTTTTTTTCAAACAGTCTCCATTTTATCAAAAATATTTTTTTTAACTTGTCCCTAGTTCATGACCTTGCGACATTCATGTAGATCAGTGATTCCCAAAGTGGGCGCCAGAATGAAAAAAATTTCGTTGAGCAATAATACCGTGCAAAGAAGAATTGATGAAATGGCACAAGATGTTGAAGATTCATTATGTGGCTACTTGAAAACATCTCGGTTTTCAATTCAACTTGACGAATCCACATTGCCCGAAAACGAAGCTTTGCTTTTAGCATATGTCCGGTTTATAAGAGAAGAAAAAATGTGTCAAGAATTATTGTTTGCTAAATCTTTGAAAACTGACACGAAGGGAGAAACAATATTTTTTGCATTAGATGAGTTTTTTAAAGAAAAAGGAATACCTCTAAGAAATATTTTATCAGTAGCCACAGATGGTGCTCCAGCGATGGTAGGGCGCTACAAGGGTTTTTTTGCATTTTTAAAAAAGAAGGTGCCAAATGCTTTTGCAGTACACTGTGTCATTCATCGCCAACATCTTGTTGCTAAAAATTTGAGTGAACGCCTTCATAATTCGTTGCAATATGTTATTAGAGCTACCAACCTAATAAAAAGCAGAGCTAAGAATGATAGGTTATTTAAACAGCTTTGTATTGATAACGACGAAGAATATAATCGTTTGCTGCTTCATACAGAAGTAAGGTGGCTATCAAAGGGTGCCTGCTTAGATAGATTTTATAAACTTTTTAATTCGGTGCTGGAGTTTTTGAAGGATAATAATGAGGATTTGCGATCAAAACTAATACACTACAAAAGTGACATCGCTTACTTAACAGATTTATTTAAAAAATTCAATGAATGCAATATACAACTTCAAGGGGATGAAATAAACTTAATAAAAACAAAATCTATTATTCCTGCATTCATTACAAAACTGTTTATATTCAAGCAAAATTTTGGACGAGGAGAATTAGGTCAGTTTCCAAACCTATCAGAAGCAGAAAAAAAAGATAGCGATATACAGTCTTACTGTGAGCACTTAAATGCACTTCATTCTGATTTTTCTAAGCGATTCGAAGATATCATGGAAATGAACATACCTGATTGGATTTTCGATCCCTTTACAAGTGGAATTACAGAAGATTCTCCAGAGCTACAAGAAGAATTGATGGAGATAATGACAAATGAGGAACTGAAATTTAAATTCAAGAGTGGTTACCAACAATTCTGGCTGCAAAAAGAGATCCCGACGGCTTACCCACAAGTTTGGTCAGTCATTGAAAAATTTCTTATTGCATTTCCATCATCATACTTAGTGGAATGTGGATTCAGCGGTGCAACCAATTTATTAACAAATACAAGAAACCGATTACAAATAGTAGATCGTGGAGATTTAAGATTACTTCTGACGAAGATAGAACCGCGAATTGCGAAATTGGTAGCAGCACACCAGATTCATCCCTCAAATTAAAATTGTAATGATTGTATGTTTATTCTGAATATAGTTTTATAATTTCAAACTTTGATGTTATTTTACAACCTTCTTTTGAAAGAGGAAAATATCAATTTTGATAATGTCCTTTATTTTAATAAATAAATCAGCAAAACCTTTTCGTCATCAGTGATGTGCCAATTGCAATTGCATTTTATTACAAATATACCCGTGATATATCTGAAAAATTTGATGGTGCAATTTTTTTCTGAATGTTTTATGATTTATTAAAATAGCGTACTCTATCAAAATTGGTTTCTTTTTCATCAATTTATCTATTATATTTTTATATACCTTATTAATTGCTAGTAAAATAAAAAAAATAGGGGGGCGCTGAGTAATATTTTTTCTGGAAAGGGGGCGGTAGGTAAAATAAGTTTGGGAATCACTGATGTAGATTAATAATCTTTTTATTTTTTTCATTTTAGATCACTAGAAGGGATGAAATCATGGGTATGGCCACCTGCCAATTTTTCGAGACCCCCCACTTCATCGGCTGCTAAAATTTTGGATTTTGAAAAAAAAAATTTTAAATTTTTTCCTGTACTCTTAAAAGGTTAATAAATAATATATAAAAAAATGGATGGTAAAATTATTAATTGCCTATTTTATACAACACTTTAAAAAAGACCTAAAAATCATGCCTCTAGACCAGAATACCTCCTTAAGCAATTAAGACATTTCATTTGGCGGAAGCACTTTACAATAATTACGGACCATCACGCGCTTTGTTGGTTACAGAAAAATAAAGATCCCGCGGGTAATAACATTGCAAGAATTTGACTACGACATAAAACATAAAAAAAAACGGTATATTGCATACCAACGCCGACGTGCTATCTAGGTATCCAATAAGCGGCCAAGCAAATCCCCGCGTATTTCAGCTACAGTTTTCAGAAACGTTGGGTGCTTTGCAATTAAAAGATCCGCCGGAGAAATAGAAAACCCGGAAGCGGTTTCGGTAGAATTAAAAAAAAAATCTAGAAGTTTTGTTATTATAGATAACTCATTATATCGTAAAGATTTGGTTGCTCATACTTCGAATAAACTGCCGGTTATCCCGAAAACTTTACAGGAAGAACTACCACACGCTTATCACGATGATCCGCTATCAAGCGCTCATTTAGGAATAGTAAAAACATACGGTAGATTATAATATTATAAGAAATATTTTTGGGATAATATGAGGAAAGACACTATCAATTACGTAAGATCGTGCATTCATTGTCAAACAAAGAAATCTCCAAAGCAAGCACCCGCCGGATTACTAAATCCAATACCAGTGGGAAACTCGTTCAATTTAATAGGTCCAATAATAGTCGCTATTGATTACCTCACGAAATGGGCGGAAGCAAAAGCGATATCAAATCAATCAGCAGATGTTGAGAAAAAATGTTGAGAAAAATATGTTGTGAGGGATTCAGTGAAATAATTCGCGTATGAAGGAATATGACGCGAAAAGAGAAAATTGGAGTTAATAGATGATTGGGGTAATAATTAATTGTATTTCTTATTATTTTGATTTGATTGTGAAAGTGGTTATTTAGTTCAGTCAGGAATTGGAAAATTGTGTGTGAGTATGCATATTTTTACGAATGTCAGCTGGCCAGCAAAGTATAAGAGATAAGTGTATTTTGATTTCCCTCGTTTTAAATGAAAATGTTTTAGGTTTTAATGCAAGATATGAGTGAATGTAAATTTTAATTGATTATTGGTTTGTGTTTGATATAATGTATGTGGATTATACTCGGGGTGTTTAAAAAAATAAATTGAGGATGGAATTGAGTTTCGCGATTTTTGGGAAAATTTGGGGATTTACGGTTTTGGGGAAAAATCGTCCGGGCTGGTATTTTGTTGTGTTATGGTTATTGATTATGAATTGGTTTTTGATCTCACAGCATGGCGATATGGATTTGGGCTATGGGAGCACCCCCAGCGAGGGTTCTGGTGCTCTGAGTGAGACCGTTGAAGCGTGATGCAAGCTGATTGCTATCACATGCAAGCTGATTGCTATCACATGCAAGCTGATTGCTATCACGCTATCCATTTGGAGGCTTTGGTTGTTTGTTTGTTATATGTTTATTAGTAGAATTTTGTGGATTTCACGCTAGAGCCGGTACTATTTACCACATTGTACTGCCGCTAATGTGAAGTTTTTGAGCAGATATCCGCTCCCGATGCCCGCTCAAAAACTTCCGCCATCAGTAAGCGTCGTGCGACGTTGTGTGTTTGTTTTTTTTTTTTTACTGATGGTAATTTCCTTCTGAAATGCGTGCGATGCTGCTTCAGGTCTTTTATTGGATAGGCAAGGTGCAATGAGCATCTAGCACCGTTTGGAGCCTAGGAACATCAGGAAAACAAGCATTCCGACGACTCACTTCTTGTTTTTATATTGAGAAGCGCACTTGCTGTACACGATTGAATAGAAATAGGAATAGCTAGACTAAGATAAATGTAAAATCAAGGTTATGTTTGCGTTGTGCGGTTAATAGAAATGGGATCATCAGAAAAATCAGAAAATTACTAAGCCGGAATAGTTTTTTTTAATTTTTTATTGTTGTGGGATTGTTTAGTTCTCACTGATTTATAAATATACCTTTACTATTTATGTGTGTTAGTTTCGTCTTATACTTGAGTATTGATATAAATAAGAGAGGAATTTTAATGAATAAGTTAATAGTTTGAGAATAGAATAGACCGAAACAGTAAATATGAATTTTATAAGGTAGTTCTAATCGTTTTTTGGTGTTGTAATAAATAATAGTGATAAGTTTAGATATTTTTGTGATCAGTTTGAGTGTTTATGCTATTTACTTTTATTATGACTGATAATTCTAATACTTGTCAAGTTCCAATGTTGTGTTCACTGAATTTGATAGTTTTAATTAACTATGATCGATTTTGTAGAATGTAGATGAAATGAGTATAATGAGTAGTAATAAGTTTAAGTTTAAATAGACAGGGGATAAGTGAAGTGGACTAAGTGATGTTTTCTTTGTGATTATAATACTTTTCGGACAAAAATCTTAAACTATTAATTAGATCTTGCTTTCGGCGGAAAACTGCGATGAGAGGAGTAACTTCGACAGTGCTACGAAAAATTAAGCACGCGAACGACCATGTTATCGAAACACCGCGACCTGAATGGTGGATCAGGGGACTAGAGATCGACGCCTATGCAGATGCCATGCCGGATTGAAGAAAAGTCTGAGCCTACGGAAGGAGAGCTGACCGCAGATCGGACAAAGTGGAATGCGCCATCGACGTTTCATCCGGCGGAGCAGACAGGTGTTAGAGTGCGCCACCTAAGATATCCGAAGCAGAGAAAGCTGGTGCGGCATCAGGGATGGAGCTTTGAAAGATCGAGGGCGATCTTTATAGGAGGTGGGGTAGTGTTACGAATGTGTGGGGAGCACCCACAGAAAGATATAAAATAACATATAACTACGCCTCTCCCTATATGCGAGTAAACCATATCCCTGATGAAGAGTGTGTCCCGAAGGCTCGCGGGTAGTCTGCATTAACAGTCTTGAAGTAGTCGTGGTCAAGAGAGAAAGTTGTCTGCATGGCTTCAGAGCCGGCAAACATGCGGTCCAGCGCACGAAGGTGTTTTAATGTGAGACTAGAGGACGTCATAGGGGGACAGCGTTTCGGAAGCTGTGCCCAACCGAAAGTGGGCTTTGTATAGTTGGTATAGTTTATAGGAGTATAATAAATGTAACTATGACATGTGATGGACACTGGTTGCGCAGTGGTTAAAGATAAGTCTAGAATAAGTGCATGTTAGAATAGGAAATGTTTTAGAATAAGTAATTGGCCTGTGTAAATATAGATTAGTTAATTAAGTCACGGACAAACGCTTTTCCATTAGTAGTATTTAAAGTAACCAGTCTCTTACAGGACCGCGACGTCACGGTAAGGTTTGACGAAGGACCGCGAATGTAACAACAATAATAAATTAGAGTGTGAATCAAGGAGAAGCATAATAAATGAAAGGGAATTAATGATAAATGGAAGCGGATTCATGACAATATATTAATTCTTTCTGAATTTGTTATATCATTTAAAAGACTTCATTTTTCAACAGATGTATTTTATGTTATGACCATAAATTACAAAGGCAGGCGATGATTTTTTGTTTGATACATTTGGAAAATCTATGTATTAGTTGAGAATAAACAAAAAATTTATACATCCACATCTACGGGTATGACTAAAAAAAATGTATAACCCTTGACATTGATTATTGGAAATAAATTTGTACTATAAATTGCAGTGTTTAATTTTTAATATACAATTTTATTGAACATATTTTGTTGAAGGGAATCACCATTTGAAGCAGATCTACATTTGACATCACTCATATATTGGTGTAAATAGTCATTCGAAAAACAGTACATAATTAATATTTTTAACTGAACGGTAAATATTAGTATAAGATATTGAAAAAAACGTAGATGTGGGCACAGGACAACGTCTGTCGGATCATCTAGTTATATATATATATATATATATATATATATATATATATATATATATATATATATATATATATATATATGAGATTCAGTTTTCAGGGCAATACATCAATTGAAAAATTTGTATGACTTTAAAACATTTTTATTTTTTCTCATACGCTTCGACACATTGTTTCCATTCTTATCATCCCACTAACTTGAAAATCGGTACCATTATCAATTTAGTTGATCATGCTATTCTCTTATCAGATAAAAAGTTTTGGCCTTTTAACTCATCTCTAATCCACAGAACCCTATTAAATAATTGCTATCCTCCACATCTTATAAAATCAGTAATTAGCAACAGGCTTTCCGTCCTTAACACAAAACATAATCATCCTTCCCTCGAGTCCCAGAAAAAATAAAATAAGTTTATTGGCACTATTTGTCTCCCTTACATTAAAAATCTCTTTCCTATTTGGAAAAAACTATTTGAATTCGCGGATTTGCGTTTAGTTTGCA